AACTTCATATTAACCATTTATCTGACGTGGATGTGAATTTTAGATAAATAAAAAATTATAAATGATTTAGATTTAAAATAATGACACGTAAGTAACACATTTCTTCTTTTATAGAGGTACCGTAAAAATTCTCAAAATATAAATCAAGTTACGGCACTAATTTTATTTGGATTTAATAATATATAATACAGTGACAGAGTAAAATAATTTTATAATTTCATCTAATTACAATCTAAATAGATAATAAATTTGTTAATTTTTATAATAATAAAAATCATAAAACCGTAATTTCTAATTAGTCGACTTTATAAGTTTTTTTACACCAATAATATATTCTATTAAACTCATTTTACTTTTTGACAAAACTTAATTTACAAAATTAAATTCGAGCTAAATTTCATTTTATAAACTGAAATCTAATCACACACTAAACTATTAAACTGTCTCGGACACGGACAATGAAGAATCTGAACTCTTTAATCTACGAATTGTTTATAATCTTCTACTTGATGATTTAAATGTTCTCATCTTGATATACAAAAATTGATGAAAACAAAAACCTGACTAATGGAAATATTATACTCAAAAACCGAAACTAACCTTCCGAAGTTCCAACACAATAAGTCAAACATGTTAAGAAAAACTCGATAAAGTCAAAGTCATTAAGGAGCCTACAACTTAGTGAGTTTGAAAGGTTTTGCGAATAAAATTGTCAATTTTATCCAAATTATAAGAGAAGAAAATTGTATGACATAATAGGCATAAGCTTCAGAGAGAAGAAAATTCATAAGAGAAAGAATGCACTAAACTGTAACTTGTGTGACAAAACATAATATATTTTAATTTCATTAACAATGATAAAAACAACAAAACAGAGTAAAAAAATCTACGTTCCAAAAGTTATCAATATCACAAAATTAAAAGCTTATTCATTTAAACCTTTCTCACGCAAAAAAATAACTTTTACTAAAACAAATAATAGCGTCATTATTTAAATTTTGAGAAAAGACCAGAATATAAGAAATATATTTCTATTTTTTTTGCGAAGTTATTTTTAAGTAAAATTAAAAAAATGTAAAATTATAAATTAATGGATTATAAATATATTCCTTGATTAAGCAACTTAAAAAGATTATATTTTGAAAATTAAAGAAGTATTTGATATTCAAGGTTCCTCAATCCTCACGACACGAGGTACTTGAGGAAAGCAGAGAACAAAACTTTACAACAAATTAGGCAGGCTTGAAGTGAACCCAGCAACAACAAGAACATCGTTCCTGTAACAAAGAATTTCTTATTTTCTTTTCCTTAAAATAAATTCAAAAAGGTGTCTCAACAACAACTGGTATTAGATCTATTACAGAAACACATTGCACTGCTTATTCACTCACTTTACAAAACAAAGAGTATAAGTGCGATTTTACCATAACAACATGACTACAACATAAATGGTATTTAGCAACATTTGAAAATGTTACTTAATTATGTATAAATGTTGCTAATTTGTTTTAGCAACATATTATCAAATGTTGTATATAATCTATGTTGTTAAAGAATTTTAATAACATTTTTGCATAATTAGGTAACATTTTTTAAATGTTATCAAAGTATTATTTTTGTAACATTTTAATAATTTTTTGTAACATTTTAATGATGTTGCCAATATTTTGTTGACTTTATTAAATAATAATTAATTTTAATTTAAATATTACTATCAATTATTATATTTTTATATCTCCTAAACTTCTAAGAATTCCTTAAGTTGAAAGACATTTTTAGTTAGTCACTACTAGTTATATATAGAATATCAAATTTCATTTATCTTAAATATAACTATATGAGTATATATACACTTTATGAGTCATTAATCTATTCGACGTGAGACTGTAATTATGAGTTACAATTAGATATAAGAAAAACATACTTTTTTTGACTCGATGTGGGACTTTGATTTTAAAAGTGATTATAGTAACATTTTTCAAAAAAAATGTTGCAAAATAGCTTATGTAAATTTTTTTTACTCGATATGAGACTTTGATGTTGAAAATAATTAGAAATAATAATATTGAAATAAAAAATGTTACTCTATCTATAATGAGATTTTTTTACAAAATAACATATTTATGTAATATATAGTAACACTTTAATAAATGTAAACAAGAAAATGTTGCTGAAGGGCTAAAATCTAGTAGTGATGTAACATAAACTTTATTTGCAATTACAATGCATGGTATTATTGCACCAATCACACAAAATCCTTAGTAAAACAAAACACACGACTAAGGAACACAGTAACATAGCTTAACTCTTTAGAACATCTTTAACTCTTTAGAGCTTTCATGCTTAGCACAAAATTCCCCTGTTTAATTCACATGATTTGCACTTTTATAGTTTTGTTATTTCCTGTGTTCGTCTAAGTCGCTTGTATACCTTATTAAGTCCAATTGTAGTTGCGTGGTTCAGTTTTTTTTTTTATAATTCATTTGTTTTCTGTTCAAATAATCTTTATTACATTTGATTAACTCTTAATTCAGTTCTACACTCTCTCAAGTACCATAAAATTATCAAATACTTAATTTGATAACAAAGCTTGATCAATCAATAATGATTAACAAATAACATCAAGACAATAAAATTTCACATCATCAACAAATTAGAAATTAAATTAATAATACATATCCAAATAAACATTCATTATATTCTTCGCTTATAACCCTAATTATCAAAAACTCAAAAGATTCGATATAAACAACTCAATAATTTAAATTATCATCCCTAAACAATCAAAGTCGTCTAAAAAATTAAACATAAACAATAATATGAAACAAACCATGAAAGGTCAACCCTCTTCTATTAGCATTATTCATTTTTCAAAGAGATAAATGTTATCCATTTTTTAAAATTTTACAACTTATTTAAATTTTAATATTTTTAAAAATTTAAGTTCAAATTATTAATTTAATTCCTCAAAAATTCATTTGCGGAAATGTGATCCTTTTATGTATAATTTATAATTATTACAAAGGAAATATATTTTTTTTAACTATTTCTTTAATTTTCACTTTAATTGATGAAAAGCAATTATGTTAAAAATAATTATACTCTCGTACAACTATAAAGAATAATATGAAACTATCTAAAAATAATATAATCACTTATTTATTTTATTGTTAGTAATAAATAACACTCTACTTGCATTTTATATATGAAAAAAATGCTTAAAACTTTTTAATTCAAATATAAATAAATTTTAATCATTATTTAATATTTTTAATCCAAAAATATTTTTAAGATAATAAATTAGAACATTATCTGTAATATATAATTTAGAATATTTTAGTAAATAAAATATATTTTATATAAGATGATGAAAATTAAATGTTTGTGTAAAATTTAACTTTCCTCACCCTCATCTCTATGAAATTGATTTCTTTTTTCTTAGGTCCTATAAATGAACTAACTATAAACATGCAAGTTACTCCGAGTGAATTTATGTTGATAAAAACACGCTCTATGCCCCTCTGGTTTCTCCCCAACAGTTGCATTGCAATCGAGAAGTGAAGGTTCAAGCTAAGACCCATCCCAAGAGTGATAATGAGTATTCTCATATTACAATTCACATTTCCCACACATGACACAGTACAAAATCTTTTAAATGCATAATTTTATTGACATGAACACAAGTAACCACCTAGAAGATACAATTCACAATGTAACATCTTTCTCAAAGATACAACACTAATTATTACAACGAACCAAATCTCTCGAATAAGACATGGATCAACCAGAGATTTCTATGGCCTTAACCTCGGCCTTCTTAACCTCTTCCTTTGGAACAGTAACAGTGAGAACCCCATTTTCCATAGAAGCCTTCACTTTATCCACTTTTGCATATCAAAAGGGCCCAAGGCCCAACAAAAGAATTCTACAAGAATTTAAGATGGCCAATGGTAAATGTAATGATAGATGACACAATAAACCATGAAATAGCTGGAAATGGCTTGTAATCAGGGTAGTATTGTTATTGTTTGAAAAACTATCTTTATTCTCTGAAACCTATCTAACAGAAAAATAAGTTAAAACCAATTTTAAATTAAAAGTATGTATTGTTTTTGTTTATAGAGCGCTTAAATTGTTACTTTGGAAACATTGAATTTGTGACAAGAAATATTGTCTGAGATTAATAAATTTGAAACTATTAGCCATATTAAAATAATTAACAGGGAAATAATTCTTAAAAAATATATAATCGATACAATAATCCAATAATCTAAAAAAAAATAGAAAAGTGTAGAAAGAGTATTTTTCCATATACAAAAGACATTTTCTTATGTTTTTTTTAATCTTAAATATATATATATATATATATAAAAGTGAATTTACAAAAGGGATTATGAATGTAGTAAAGTAGAGGTATAAGCGGGTATGGATAACCCGCGAATTCAAACTAACCCAAACCAATTCAATGAGTTTGGATCAGATTTTTTCGATGATTGGATCAGACTCAATTCAACCCAACCAAAATCTGACACCATACATATCAGATAACAGATTTTGTCTTTTTAGCCTGTTACCTAATCCAACCCGATCATAATAATAATAATAATAATAATGTTTAAATAATTATTTGTTTAGGACAATACTCATTATTACTCTTGATTTTTTAGTTGATAATAATGCAATAGATTAATAAATTTATTTTAAAATTAAATTTGTATCATTGTTTGTTTTATAGATTGATAACATTATATTTATAGTAATGTGTCAAATAATTTACATCTATTTTAAAATATTTAAATTTTTATAAAAAAAAAATAAATTTAATTATGTTAACCTGATTAACCAAATTCAACCCAATTTGTTTATGATTAAGTTGGATTAGATTAGATTTTTAAAAAAATTACATATATCCAACCTAATCGAATTTGTTAAATTTTGATTAGGTCAAATAGCATGTTCGTCAGAAATTAATCCGACTCGATCTAACCCGCTTATACATATGAAAAAGAGCATGAAGGATGTTGTGATTAGGAATTATGAATGGGCATGGAATGAGTGATCTTGGGAACAGTGACAGTGAGAAGGCCATTTTCAATGGAAGCTTTGAGGTGATCAAGTTTGGCATTGGCGGGAAGCGTGAAAGATCTCTTGAACTTGGAAGTGGTGCGGTGAAGGGTGTGGTCATGAATTTGGATGTTCCTCTCCCCACTCACCTGAAGAACTCTTCCGTCCTCCACCTCCGCCTTTAGCACGTGCGCCTCCGCCGTCTCCTTCCACTCCAACTGCCCTAGGCTTCCCATCAACGCCGCCGGAGAATCCTCCATGCTTGGGATCAAAGACATTTTTTATTCTTTTACAATTACAATTAGAATGCGTTTGTTGGATTCTGATTCTATTAAACAACGTTTCGGAAGGTCAAGAGACTTCTTCGCCTTCCTTCCGTCTGCATGTGCACCTCATTTTACGTAAAACAGATGTTTATGCAAATTGCACCAAATTTCTGTTTTCATGTCATTCTCTACACCTCTCACCATTTTTATACGTACCAACTTCTTAACACGGAAAGTTTTATTTTCATTGGGACCTTTTTTCTAATCTGTAAAAAACCAGAACAACATCGACTTTCCGGATATAATTAATAGTATAAAATAAATCATATATGAATTAAATTACTTAAATATAAAAATAAAATTAATTAAAAAAATAACGTCAACTTATATTTTTTATCAAACAATTTTTTATTTTTTTTTTCCTTTCAGATTCCTATTATATATGTATTATTTATTGTTTTTTACATACTATTTGATATGTTTAAAAAATTTAAGGTTTTAAGTTGTAGATTAAAAAAACTAAATGCATAAGTTTAGGAAAATGAAAAACATTTACATATTTTGTAAAAAGTAATTTATACTATATACTCTAAATTTATATTAATTACTGTATCATATAAATGATAATATTAATTAATTGATCGTAAATAAAATATTAAAATAATAACACTCATTTTGTATGAACAATAATAAAAAATAATTGTAACTTAATATTTGTTTCAATAGTATAATACTTAATATCTAATTATGTTATTATATTAATACAGGAATATTATAATTGTTATCTAATAGTTACTGTATTATGATAATTAATTTTTATGCAGTAGATATATTCTATTTCGAAAAAATAAAAAGAAAAATATATTAACCATCTTTTTGTACATACGTAGATAAAGAGAAAATAACAATAGTTTTCTTATTTGATTGAGAAAATAAGTAATTGAAAAATAAAATTATTATCCTTTTATTTTATAATAATGATGAATATTTTAATATATTAATGAAATTTTGTATTTGAAAATACTTTCAAACTCAATTTTTTATGCATTAAAGAATAATTTTTAATCCTATATATTTTGTCTATTTCCTTTCCTAAATAAATACATTAAAAAAAAAAATCTTGTTGATTGCAGTGCCAGACTGCCAGTGCCTATAAGTCAATGTAATGCATATATAAAGCCTTGAATTTTCCTGTTATTACACTCTTTATTTTGTGAATAATGCATAAACTATCATCCACTGCACCAGTGGTCTAGTGGCAGAATAGTACCCTGCCACGGTACAGACCCGGGTTCGATTCCCGGCTGGTGCACTTCTGAGAGTAGTGATGACAATTTTGTGGCTGATGGGGCAGTCACTGTCCCCTACACTTGGGTGATTAAATAGGTTCAGAGCTCTCTTTACACTTTTTAATAAGTCTTGACCTCTCGTTTTTTTTTTTAAGAGTACAGGGCAAACGTGTATAATAATCTCAAACGTGGGAACAGGTTACTTTACTCACATATATGCAATTGCCCAATTACAATTGATTCACATTTTTCGCCTACATCACACATCATAAACTTTTTTTTGATATAAAGTCTTCCAGATATAAAAATGACCCACTAAATAGCATTTTTATAACTTAAAAGACTTTTCTTATAAGTTTTTTTTAAAAAAAAATGATTCTAAGTAATATTTATACAACTAGGTTGTTTGTCATTTTATAAATAAATTATTTAATCTAATTTTATAGATAAATATTATAAACTAATGGATATTATAATTAATAAGAGTTAAATGATTAATATTATAAGAATAACTGGTATACATCCTTAAAAATGGTTAATTACAATTTGAATTAGCTAAAATAGTCAAGAAAGATCATCCTTCAGTACACAAACGGGAAGACAGATGAGAAAAATATAAAAGGTGCTACAATTTGGTATGAATAATAGGTAAGACTGGATGACAAAACTTTCCTTCCAAATATTCAGAGTAAATGCCAGTGAGCATTACAAAAATGAAAATTTAACACTAGGGGTCCTTACATCAGTGAACATTGTCAAACTGAACCAGATGAAAATTTACAAAAAACAAAAAAAAAATTTAGAGACAAAGAGAATGCAAGCATTTAAATTTTATCATCCTTCTGCAATATTAAAGTCAAGAACTATTCTTTCGGGACATATTTAAAGGCCTGAGAAATGCATGTAACCTTTAAATATTACACTGAAAATAAGCCAATAGCGAGTGTAGAAAACATTATTCCTTATGTTTTCTTTTCTTTGATTTTCTTTCATGAGAATGATCTGGGGACATAGAGGAAATGCCAGTGCTGTGACCATGTGAAACCTCAGACACAATAGATTTGGACTTAGTTTTAGACACGTGGCTTCTTTTTGAAATACTTGATGGCTCACCAACTTCAGATAAAGAGCTTTTCTGTCTGCTACCTTTTGATGAAGCTGCATGTCCACCACTTTGCATAGGAAAATACCGAGATGAAGTTGTCCCTGTGACTCCAGAAGAATTTCGATGGGCGTGTCTTTTATTGGTTGAATTGAGCTTTTCAAGTTCTTTAGGATCAGGGTAATGGACAGTGGAAACTCGCATCGAAATCTTTGCTGCAGTAAAGCAAAAGAAAACATTTATCTTGGTGCTTGAACTAAAAGAAATAAAACTAAAAAACTATAAGCATTAAAACTACCTACTACTATTACTACTATTACAACACACAAAAGCCAAACTTGAGAGACGCGACATGAAAAGTGATCAAATACAACAATGGAAAATCCAATACAATATAAACGGGAGAAAAACCAATAATGGAAGTGAGATCCAAGTCATGAATCCAAAACACATTCTGAAAAACATTGCCAAAGAAAAAAAACATACAGGTTAAGTTCACAAGTAAAGAAGTAATCATTTGCTACTCACAATATAACTTCCAATATACATTAATATTGGAATCATACCTATACTTTTTTTAATAAAAACAACATCGACAGAACAAATTAAACAAAAAAAAAACATCTGAACAGAGGTTTCCTCGTGCACATAATAAGGACAGAAATCATACTTGAAATCCATGAAAATTACAAGCAGATATTGAATTGGAGAATGGGATAGTTCGCCATTTTGGCAGAGATAAGGATCAAGTTATAGATGTTTTTCAAAAGCTACTCAAAGTAGCTTCTAAAAAATAATAAGCAACAAGACATTTTTCAGATTCTGATTTTTCAAAGGTTAAAAACACCAAATATTTTTAAAAGTGATCTAAAAAACTGAAGCAAATGAGCTCTTACTCTCACAACTCTTTAACCCAAACTATATTAAGCACATAAAACATATATTGAGGCACTATCTTTTGGATGTTGCAGCAAGTATGTCCAACACCATTGTGAAAAGCTATGTACTCAATTAAGACTGCTATGTTGACATCACTTTTACCTTGCTGTAGTTGTCATCCTTCATATATGAGTAATAGAAAATATTGATGCTTACCTATTTTTGGTTCAGTAGAGGAAACAAAAACCGTTTCGTCTGGCTCTTGAGCAGCAAAGCTTACAAAATCATATACTTTACCTGCCAACATAACATGAAAATTAAGGCACTTGCAAAAAATCATATTCTTATCACACAAAAAAAAATGCTATTATGAATATCAAGCAGCAGAAATTGAAGGAGAGAACAGAGCATTGATGATGTCACAGCTGATCACTTTATTTACCTGATGAACCCTCGAAGATGGCTAGTTTACCATTATTCTGAAGTGTGAGAAACAATTTCTGCCCATGTATGTCAGATAAAAAATCCTGTCCAACAAATTACACACATCAAGTGAGATAATGATGGCAGTGATCAACATAAAATCAAGAAGAGGCTCTTCTACCATCTAAATCCTAGATGGAAGGAAACACCACCAATCTCAATACAGATACCAGCTCATTCGAATGGAATGAAACCTCACATAATTATAGAAATTGATCAATTTTACGAGGGAAAACACACTAGCAAATGGAAAGAGATATTACACAGGGATGAATTTTTCCACACTCCTTAATGAGATCTAACACAACAAAAATTAACATGAAACATGTATGCAAAAAGATTCTAACAAAAGAAAAAATAAGCTTAGTAGAGAGGATTGACCAAAAAGAAGTTAATTGTTTGATACCATGACTGAAGTCACAAGCAAAGGGGTATCCAAACAAGTACTATATTTTTAAACAAAATGCTTGACATCCCACTTGATTTTTCACTTTTGTAATGATGATGATATCAATCTTTTGTATTTTTTTTTTTTTCATTTAGATGGCACCGGTTGTTGGAATTCAGCTCAAAAGAAATAAGCAAATCATAAGCAGAAAGACAAACTTACATTGGAGAAAGGCAGCTTAAGAAGCAAAAGCTCGGTTGAGTCAGTCAAGTTAATGAGTGCTTCGTTGCTGTCTTCCACATATTCTGCGGAAGGCTTGTAGCCTTCTGTGCCCTCAATATCCACCATTGACTTTCGCAGAGCCTAAAGATTCTACCCCACAATAAAAGATAGAGAAAGACAGAAAAAACAGAAAATCAAATATTGGAAAATAATAAACAACTAATATGTTCAAATGCAGATAAATATAGTCTGCTACCAAACTGGGTTGGATTATAAACAGCATGATGGAATCTCCATATTCCATTACAGCAGTCGGTCAATGATGGGAAATTAAACAACAGTAGAACAGGGGCAAAAGAATTTTTCTCCTACCCATTACAATGTTTGATTCAATATTAAAAGAAACACGGCAATCATTAACAGTAAAACTAAGAGTAACATCATGTTCATCAGCAAAAGCTTAATATTCAAATATCTTTGTCTTGAGCACCTCCACTTTATCAAGTTACAATAAGAACCCCACTCCCCACCATAGTATTAGTCACAAGATCACACAATTGGGAATTCAGTGCCATATGGGAACTCAAACTTGTCCAGGACAAGGACAGGGAAGAAAAGATTAAAAGAAGAGGAAAAATCGTAGAGCTGAAACCGTTTAAGTGCTTGTTTGATAACTAATTGATTTTGAGCAATTACAACTTTTCTTTTCTCTCAAACAAAAGCTCTAGCAGCAAAATTATTTATCTAATATAAGCACAACGAAACACACAAACATGTTCACAGTCGCAGAGAAAGAAGAAAAAAACTCTGAACCCTAGAGAGACACTATCAATCAATACAAAAAAAAAAAAAAAAAAATCCACTGAAAAAGTAAATTACGGTTTGGTTTGGTCTAATTTGGGGAATATGATACAAACCAACCAACGGCTTTGGTTGGGGTAATTGACTTTAGCTTCTATATTTTTTTAGGGGAAAAAAGTAACAAAAATCTCAGTGACGTAGTATAAGTTGAGTTTGGTTTTGAAGGAGAAAGTGTAATACATTGGTATGAAGTAAAGGAAGGTATGCAGCAAAAGGCAAAGTGAGAATGATGAGTTGCGTAGAAGGAATAGGAAAAACGTAAAGGGAGAGAGTTACTGGAAAGTGGAAACGGCGCACTTGCGGTTGTCGCCAAACGAAGAGGTGCAAAACAATGGAAGAGGCTGTGCCAACATATATTACCAAATAAATAAAAAGTAATTAGGGATTTAAAGTTAATGTGCAGTTTATTATTATTATTATTATTATTACCTTCTGCAAAGAGTGTTGACTATCTATATATGGCATAACAGCACCAATTTACCTCAGCCTCTCACCACCTTCCTCTATTATATAATTAATGATCATAATCTATAGTGTTGTCCGAGTAAGTTTTCAGTCTTTCTTTAGACATTAATGGGTTTGGGCCTTTTCTGGGTAAATGAGTTTGGGCTTAAAGTAGTGTTAATTATCTTTGGCTGGTGATAAACACACCTTCATTTTTATATAAATATACCTCTTTTTTTTTTAAATATATGAAATTCTTAAATTATTCTTATTTGCACCTCTTTTTTTTTTTTTTTTCTTCCGTGCACCTCTCTTCTTCTTTCTATTCCGCACACCTCTCTTCTTTTACACCTCTCTTCTTCTTCCTCCGCACGCACACCTCTCTTTATAAGTTATATCATTGACGTTGTTATATGCGTGAGGTTTACAAAATTATGCATACCTTTGAGATCTACTTTGGTACTAGCTAAAGCAGAAACAACATACAACCTGTTTTTCTTGTCCTGTTTAAATTAAAAAAAAAAAGTGTAACAATCAGAGCATAAAACGCATAACAATTTAAAACCAAAAAATGATAAAGAATATATAGATTTCAAATTTCAGTTAAATTATAGCATACCTTGAGAAACAAGTTCTTGCTCAGCCCACCCCCTAAGTGTCCAACATATTGAGCCTGAAAAGTGAAAACGGATACTGAATCAGAAATATGAAAATAAAATGAACAAGACGTGGTAGATAATAGTATTAAAGGATTTTACCTGAGCGTCAACGGTCAGAACAACTGGATGCTCATACTAGGAAAATGGAATCTGAAGCTCCTGTGAAGAAAAGAGAAAAAAACGCAACAGTTAGTGAGGGGCAATGAGGGAAGCAAAGGTGCACAAAACAGAAATGTTGGAAGCTCGTTTTGTAAAACCTTCAAGCACGCCAGAAGTTGTTCCTTTGAGAAACCCATGATGACTACGAGCGACGAAATGAATGGTGATGGAGTCGAAGCGATTGCAATTCGCAGTGCAAAACAAACTACTGCGTTCCAATTCCAAACCCGAAAATAGTGTGTAATAATAATATGGGTTATGGGTTATGGGTTATGGGTTATGGGTCAGTCACTCAATGTCCACACCCCCAAACCCGTAAATGGTAATAACATTTAGGCAGATGATAAACACACCAATGGTTTATACTGCACGATGGGGAATCCATGGGATCAGTCTCCCCGGAAGAGAGGTGCGCATAAGGAGAAGAAAGAAGAATAGAGGTGTGCATGCAGAGGAAGAAGAAGAGAGGTGTGCGTGCGGAGGAGGAAGAAGAAGAGAGGTGTAAAAGAAGAAGAGAGGTGTGTGGAGGAGAAAGAAGAAAAGAGGTGCACGGAGAAAAAATAAAGAAGAGAAGTGCAAATAAGGGTAATTTAGGAATTTCATATATTTAAAAAAAAAAAAAGGGGTGTATTTATATAAAAATGGAGGTGTGTTTATCACCAGCCATTACCTTTTGGGCTCATGTCCAGTTTGATGTTTGCACTACCCTTCTTTCGACATTTTTTAAACAAAAATATTTTAAAGGAAATTAATTTTTGTTGCGTAATTAAAATTTTATTTGTATATTTATTTTTATTAAATATTTAATTTAATCATTTAAATAAATCACAAATAAAATACTAATTAACTTGGTCAATTTTGACACTTAATTCTTATTTGTTTTAAATAGCTTTAATGGTTGAACAATATATAATATAATATATAAATAACAAAAGAAACATACTAAGTGTTAGACTATATCAGTAACATTTTTCTGTTGAAATTTAATAACAAGTAACTAAGTCTGCTATATAATCCTATCAGCTGCAAACAATCATTGAAAAATGCGTGGATATGTTGGTGGTGTTCAGCTAAAATAAGTGTTTTTATATTTTTTTTATCTATATAAAAATTGAACACAATATTAAAGAATTTACAATATTAATGTCAGAAAAAAGTTTTTTAAAAAAAATACAATGGGAGGCAAACAAATATGCAGCTTATTTTTACAAATGTTGAACGAAGCTTATTTTTACAATTTAGGCAAACAAGTGTGCAACTTAAACAAAACAAGAGGACACAGAAAAGCTAAAGACATAGAATTTCCAAATAGCCTCTTGGAACAAATTAATTGAAAAGCAAAGGAATCATAGCAGTAATATTTTACTTCATTGATTCACCACATAACCTAACACTTTTTGCCTGTATCCCTAATGTTTCTAGTCCCATATTTCCTTATTCCATAACGAGGTATCCATCTCATAAGCGAAACGCATAACTAGGTATGTTCGTAAATCAATCGTTAGAAAAGGATCTTGAGAAGAATGATTTTAAAAAAATAAAAGTATAAAAAGTGAGGGAGAATGAAAGCGAGAAACAGAGCAGAGAAGCGATGAAATACCTAACAGAGAAGGAGGTGTCGTGGCCGGTGACGGCGAGGGAGCAGATTTCCCAAATGTCTGCTAGGGCAAGAGCTTAGAGCCGGCGGAGGGAGTGGCGTTGTGTTGTTAAATTTCGGAAGGAGTTGTGTTGTTTTAACCTAGCCCACTGTTGAGTTAGCTAGCTGGGTTGGGCTTGGTCTCTGATAATGGATTTATGAGTCCGAAAGTGGAAAAAACCCATAAGCTCAATCCATGTTAACTTCAGTTAATATTAAATCAAAAGATCATAAAAATTATAACTCAAATTATAATAAATATTTTGATATTAAATTTAGTCCCTCATGAATTTTTGGGGTTTGTTAATTTTGCACCTGGAACGGATCGTTCCGGATACAAAATTAACACACCAAAAGTGCACCCAGAACGGCCCGTTCCAGTTTCAGAACGGCCGTTTCGGGTCCAGGTGTATTCAAAAAAATATCTTATCCACGTGGATGCCACGTATGCATCTACGTGGCCAAAAATTAACACCGTTAAAACAATTTGGACGGAAAGTCCCACATTGAAACCAATTAAGTTGGGACTAAATTGAAACCAATTAATTAGTTTGGGACCAAATTAAGGCCAAAAATTCATGAGAGACTAAATTGAAACAAAAAAAGATTATAAGGGACCAAAATAGGATTTTAGCTATTTCGGAAGGAGCTGTGTTGTTTTAACCTAACCCACTGTTGAGTTAGCTAGCTGGGTTGGGCTTGGTCTCTGATAATGTATTTATGAGTCCGAAAGTGGAAAAAACCCATAAGCTCACTCCATGTTAACTTCAGTTAATATTAAATCAAAAAATCATAAAAATTATAACTCAAATTATAATAAATATTTTGATATTAAATTTATTTTATATTAAAATTAATTAAATATCTTTATCAAAGATACTGATACAGATTTTAGATTTTATTTAATATGTTTTATAATCAAAAGAAATTTAATATTAAATTAAAACATAATAAAAATTATAACTAAAATTATATTAAATTTTCTAATATTAAATTTAGTATATATTAAAATTAATTAAATATTTGTATTTAAGAAATTGTTACAGATTTTAAATATATATTTTAAAGTTTTTATTTTATTAAATTAATTGAAAACATTATATTTTATCACTTTATAATAAAGTGAGTGAATGATAATGAATTAACTAAAATTTTAAAATATATTTTAATTAAAAATATTTTTTTATCAATGCAGTGACTAAAAGTATTATAATAAAAAATGAAATTAAATAAATTAAATCTTATAATGGTTATTTTTTTAATGATGCTAAATTAAATATTATAATTATTTTACAATAAATTAAAATGAAAAGATAATAAAATATTTTAACAGATATTTCAAATAAAATACATTAAAATATTATAATAAAAAAATCTAGTATTAAATTAAAAGATTATAAAAATCATAACTAAAATTATAATAAATATTTTGATATTAAATACTTGTATCAAAGAAATTACTAGATTTTAGATTTTATTTATTATGTTTTATAATCAAAAGATATCTAATATTAAATCAAAAGATTATAATAATTATAACTCAAATCCAGATAAATATTTTGAGATTAAATTTATTATATATTAAAATTAATTAAATATTTTTATCAAAGAAACTGATACAAATTTTAGATTTTATTTACTATGTTTTATAATCAAAAGAAATCCAATATTAAATTACAAGATAATAAAAATCATAAGCTTCTATACTATACTCTATATATATATATAATCATTATTGAGTAAAAACCAATATAATTAGTTGAACATGAACAAGTGTACATGGATGCAACCCAAAAACCAATATATCAATTTTTTGAGGTTCTCTATCTTTCGCTCCTGGTCCATCATTCCATCCTAAAGGAACAACTGAAGTTGCAGTTTAAAGAACAGGTGACTCAACTATATTTCCAAGCTCAACAGTGCCAGGCTGCCAGCAGATGCAAGGCCAAACAATTGTTTCAGATGTGGAAACTATCGCCGTTTCTCAATCCTTAAGAAAGATGAGGAATCATCACTCATACAAGTCGTAGACTCAGCAATCAAAAAGGAAGAAAGAAAACGTATTATTCCTTTTTGAAACATCAATTAAAGATACATGACAAATTAGCAGGGTCTGGAACCAGTAAAGTAAATAGAAAGAAATTTGACGCCAGAGAACACTCTGAAGAGAATATAACTAACAAGTCTGAAGTATGAACCTGCAAGGTTTGGAGAACATGAAGATTAAGTAGCCAAAAATTTATAAGATAAAACAAATATACCTCTTGCTATTCATGAAGACGACTCTGAACATCTAGCTGCAACTAAGTGCCTCTCTAATTTGCAAGGCACTGCCACTCAAAAACAAGAAGTTATGTTGATTCGAGGAAAACTTCTGATGCCAGTATGAAAATAACCATGAATGGAAGTTCTTGATACTCAGAAGTGGATATTCATATAGATAAGGAATATAACATGGTGGATGTCATATTGATGAGGAATATATAAGTGGGCAAGTAGGACGAACTCAAGGAAAGAATTACATGTAATAGCCTAAATTATAGCTACTAAGTTTAAGCAATCTTTATTAGAAACAACAAAGGTGATTGCAAAATTTTAACAACCAAGGTAAACTTGTTTTATATAGAAGAATCATTGATAATCACATTCTTCTCTAATTTTAGTGTTCTGCTCCTTTCTGAGATATGCATAAAAACAACCAACACAAACTTGCTTTATATAGAAGAATCATGTTTAATTTGATTAAAAAATAAAATAAAATTCAACCCTCAGATTCCAAAGCTTAGATTTCAATCCTTAAGCATGATTGGTAGTTTCCTTTCCACAACTTTCAATGAAAGAAAGCTAGCAACTACTGAATTTAATTTCAGTACAATAAAATTCAGAAAGACATGTTCAAAATGGCTGTGGTCTACCATAGTCCATATGTACTTATGACTATTATTTTTACAGCTTAACCTGAGTGAGATGTTTCTCACTCCGCTATTTATTCTATGCGTGTCTTCTATTGTGTTGCAAATGACCATCAACATGAGGGTGTTGGTGATTAAGCTTAGGCTTCAGTTGGGCGTGCTCTGATAGGATATGTGACATCGGGGCGTAGTTAGAACTTTTTTTCACTTTCCTTTACTTATTGCATGTTTTCTCTACTTCTCAATTCTTTGCTTCTTCTTCTTCTTTGCCTTGATACTTATAGTCTGTTGATAAATTTGTCCATTGTTTGAATTCAAATTTTTTCGTTGGAGCGGAGCTTCATGTCGTTGTAGATGGAGGTCTTTTCATGGCTATGTAAATCTTTTCATTTAATGCATTTGATCTTGCATTAAATGTTTGCTTTTATACGTGAAGTCCTTTTGTGTAGTTGATTATTTCAATGTCTGACCTGGTACCCTATGACAAATTTAGCATAATGATAGTGTAATTAAATTTCTACCCCTTATTTTGTTAAACATGCAATAATTTATTTGTACATTATTCCTACTTTATTGCATACATATTACTTTATTATCTACATGATGCCTATTTTATTGCATACGAGAAAAGCGATAAATAAAACAATAAATAAGATAGAAGCATTTGGAACCTCCAAAGAAAGCCTTTTATAAATCTTCTCGTAAATTTACATAGTGGCGCTTTTTGGCAGTCTCTTCAATCTACAAGAACCTCACTATCGCTCAAAATTTTAGACTAGGGAGACTCTGAAATCTCTGCCAAATGGTTCAAAGATCTCTTAATCAGGAACTTGAAGTTAGCGGAAATACACACAGAAGGGGGGTTGAATGTGTATGTGTGTTCGAAGGAAGATTTTTCAAAATCGTTTTGTAAATATACTCTTTTTTCTTTTGATAAAAAGAATATTCAAGCACTGTTGAAAACTTGTGCATCCTTGTCTGACTAGAAAGCTTTTTGTGTCCAATAAAATTGATCGTCTACTTCAAGAAACAAGTTGAGTAAATATTTTTTCCGTCTGAAAGGATTTATCGTCCAAAAAAAATTGTTTCTTCAAAAATAGTGGACAAGTGTGTTTTCGTCTAACAGTTTGTTGAAATGAAGGTAGATGAAAGATGAAGTTTTTAAACAAGTAGTGTTTGAGAAATAAAAAAATGTATGCACAGATTTTTGTACTGGTTCACTCAATCTGAGCTACGTCCAGTCTGCTTCAACTGAAGGGTTCCACTAATCACAAAGGATTACAAGCATTCTCAACCACTTCTGGCTCGTCAACCTCACTTGTCGACGCTAGTATTCTTAACCACTTCTGGTTCTCTAAGTATTCTTGACCACTTCTGGCCCGCTAGCTTCACTCACTAGCGCTAGTATTCTCAAACCACTTCTTGTTCACAAGTATTCTTTCAACCATCCTCTTCAGGCTTTACAGCAAATGAAGGTGTTGAGTGTGTTTGCAACTCTCACAAAGAGGATAGGATAGTTTCTACACTCACTAAGGTGCGTAACCTTAGTTTTACATGAATAAGTGTCTAATGAAATGAGACCTGAAATGGCCCACACTAGTTCAAGATTTATATATATGGCTGCACAATAAAATCAGAGAGCACTAGATGCACAAAGGTGAACTATAAAAGAAAACATCTATTTAACAAACAGCAAAAGCAAACCAATTCATCTTAAAATATTAGCAAACTAATAATGATTGGAAAACCACTCCTTGAGATCCCAATACAATGATCCTCTTCAGGCTTTACAGCAAATGAAGGTGTTGAGTGTGTTTGCAACTCTCACAAAGAGGATAGGATAGTTTCTACACTCACTAAGGTGCGTAACCTTAGTTTTACATGAATAAGTGTCTAAGTGTTTTGTTTACTCTCGTAGAAAGGATATAATATTAGCAACACTCACTAAGATAAGCTATCTTAGTTTTTACACAGATATACAGGAAATGCTTTGAAAAGAAATGTAGCTTATGCTTTTTCACTTTCCTTTACTTATTGCATGTTTTCTCTACTTCTCAATTCTTTGCTTCTTCTTCTTCTTTGCCTTGATACTTATAGTCTGTTGATAAATTTGTCCATTGTTTGAATTCAAATTTTTTCGTTGGAGCGGAGCTTCATGTCGTTGTAGATGGAGGTCTTTTCATGGCTATGTAAATCTTTTCATTTAATGCATTTGATCTTGCATTAAATGTTTGCTTTTATACGTGAAGTCCTTTTGTGTAGTTGATTATTTCAATGTCTGACCTCAATCATGATCTAGGCATATTTGTACTTTTCTCATCAGTTTAGCTGTTGAGGTGTTGTCTTTCTCTAAAAAGTAGGTGTCCTTTTTCTAACACACGCAGCTTTGACTTGTGAATCCAGGCTTGCCTATTTTTCTTCTTTCTGTATTCAGGTTTTATGTCCTTTTGTGTTTCTTTTATGATTTCACTCAATGTGATTAGTGGACTTCAAACACGCTTCACTATTTTTTGACTACGTCTGGATACATATTTGATTCTTCTTCTGGTCTTGACTACCCTTTATGTTTGGTCATGAGAGTGATGACTTCGTCTGCTTGTTCGTTAGGCTCTATCTGATGACTTTGCAAATCCATGTTGATGTTTAGCCAACTTTCGTCCCGTTCTTGACTTAGTCTCATATGATGCCTGTTTTGGTCTTACATTTGATCCCTCAGGCTTCAACTGATAGATTCATCTTATCTTGTATTTGATTTAGGCCTAGATCAACCTTAGTCTTGATACTAGCTTTACTATCATCTAATGTCTTGTTCAATTCGATTTTTCTTGATCATACTTTGTCCTTTATTTTTTCCTGAACTTATTATTATCCATCTGAAACACTAATGCACATGTTAGGAATAACAATATGTACTATATTTGTCATATGCAAAACCTTGGTAGGAATTGCGAATGCGCTTCTGACTTAACAGAACTATAATGAGTTTATTTCACTCGAAGTACCCTAAAGAGAGTCAGAAAGGGAGAGGGAGCTTTGTAGCTTGAAGTGTGTCTATTCCCTTTGCCAAGGGGTTTCTTATATAGCCATCTAGGAGGCAAAATCCTTAGAGAATTGTTAGATGTGGGACTTAGTCCTTTGATTTTTTTTAGAGGTGGGACTAAATCCACAAAAAACAAACAATTTTTTTAGGTGCTATACAGAATTTCTAGAGAACTTGTTAGTCGTTGGATCAAGCTAAATTTTGGATGATAACCTCCTACGACATTTTTTCTCTATCTCAATGGTTGGATTAGGAACATCTAGTCTAAGGCATGAGATGACCCCTTCCTTATTCATCTTGGATGTTTATTGCTTCCTCAGAGTCTTTTATGGTCATTCCTTTCTAGCTTAGGAGCTTCCAAATCTTTATTTTTGTGCCCCAAACAAAAACTAGTGTCTATAGTTTCCCCTCTTTACTTGACCTTTGGATAGCAAGACACTGCAATTGCTTTTTCCAAGGGCAAGTAAAGACATAAACGTTTTGTTCGGGTCTTCAGGTTCCCAACTCTATGGGGATTACTGTGGGGCGAATGTTCTTTACCAACCTTGTGGAGGAACATATGTACAAAGTTTTGATGATGCCAAAGCATTGTTGAAAATAAAAGGTCAAGTTAAAGCAAGTTGATCAAGGAATAAGATACCAAGAATTAACTAGATAAGTCTTGTCAACTTAGCTAAATATGTAAAAGGAACTTTTAGAAATTTCAAATTTTACTTGGCCATTAAAACTAGAATTTCAAGAAAACCTCAATCTAATATTTTTGAATATAAAAGTAAGTTTTTATATCTTTTTGAAAAGAAAGTAAAAAGAGTGTTCAAAAAGATTTTACAAAAATATTTTTGATCGATAATTAGAAAAGTTTCCTATATCAAAAGTTTATATAGCAATGTTTTAATAGTTGTCTCACAAAGAGGATAGGATAGTTTCTACACTCACTAAGGTGCGTAACCTTAGTTTTACATGAATAAGTGTCTAAGTGTTTTGTTTACTCTCGTAGAAAGGATATAATATTAGCAACACTCACTAAGATAAGCTATCCTCTGGAAACAAAATGTTTGAGAACTTGTTGCAGATGCTTCTAAAATTTTCAAGGAAGAGGAAACTGCCACATGAGACTGACTAAGTTCATCATAGTAATTACAACCATTGATATTTCCAGCAAGTCTTGCACATTTATCATGCATGTAATCACAAGATGTTAAAGGAAATTTGATAGTCTCCATCAATTCCATTGAGGTGGTTCCCTGTTTTGGTAGACTAAGAAGCTGAAATTTTCCTTCAGAATGAGCATATTGGAATAATACTTTTAACCAGCTACAGCAAGAATCAGACTTCACTTTCTTTATTAATATCCTGAATATATTCGTAGCTAGCAGCCACTCACCTTGACATGCTGCATGTGCACCGACCTTATAAGCAATCCAACCATTTGTTCCTGTCAAGACTTTGTCTACAAATGTGGTGCATTTAATAATACAACTAGCTGGATGTGTTTCATTATTCTCAAGTACCAAGCCATCACAAATAGGATGACTGTGCAATAGTAGACGGTACAGTGTGTATGTATAGCAATCAATTAAACTACACTGGCACACAAGTTCAGCCAAAATATTCACTTTACTCAACACGTCAGTATTGATAGCACTGGCTATATAAAGATTTTCAAGGAAGATAACTAGAAATCTATAAGTTTTGTGAAGAAGTTTTAAAATAAAGGAATTTTGCTTGTCTTCTTTAAAATTTACAGACACAAGAGAGGTAGAGGGTGGTACCGCATGATCAGTAGATGCAACAGTCACAAGAGATTCAATCACAACTTTTATGCTATCAAGTCCCAAGGAACCTAAATAAGGATGTCTTTCAACAATAGTTAGAAGAATCTTTAGTAGCCCCAGGAAATCTTGACAAGTTTTCAAATCATTTTGACAACCTTCTAACAATGGCCTCACCAAAAGTTTGATATGATCTTTGATTAGGGAGATAACTCGTGATGGCAAAGAAGAAGAACAGAAAACAGCATTGTCCATATCTGCTCTCTCCTCCATCCTACAGCACAAATCTGCCAGAATACGAATGGCCAAACAGCTCTTCCTTGAAGTTGGATATTGACTTGTGTTCTCAACAACATTTAGAAGCTTAACAAATTCATGAGGTTCCATCTGAAGCATAGAAGGCAGAATAGAAACAAAGACCTACAAATCATTAAATGCATGTCAAATAAGTTCATAAATCATAACAAATAAAAATGAGTTTCATTTCGCCAAGTACTAAAGTCAAACCTTGTGTAAAACCTCTAGAGCTTTATATTGCATGACCAATGAATTTTCAGGTTCCCCCATTATGGAAAATAACCCATGGATTAGACCTGAATTATCAAGGTGCTCACACAGTCCTTTTCCAAATAAATAGTGCAAGCATCTTATCACTGTTTCTTGTACATGTGAAGTTCTTTCTCTATTGAGAAATGAAAGAAGAAAGTCCACCTGAATCCAAATGTTTTAAAAAAATATTATACAAGGAAAGCACCATAGTAAATATTTGAATTGGGACGATCATCTGTGCATGCAAAAGCTAGTGGCATGATGCTTTATTTAATCACAAGCTTTAACTGGTTTACTAACCCCTTTTTGACGTAAAAAATCTAGCAATTAGTTTAAAAAATTTCATATTAATAGCAACTACAAAAGAATCACTTTGCCAGTTGAAGGGAAGGGATAAAATAGGACACTCAGCAAACATTCACACTAAATCTTTCAAACAGACAAATAAAAGCTAGGATGGAGTAATAAGTAGGTCTTTTCATTCCTCCAACTCAACTAGGATGCTAAAAATCATAAAGTAGGGAAAAAAATGTACATACCTGATACGAGGTAAAAGACATTAAAATGCAAGCCAGTTTTGTGAGTGAGAATAGCATAGCAACCAAAAAAACTTCATCTGAGGAATTTAGCACCAACTCTATACCTGTCTGCATTAAATCAATCATCACATTAGAAAAAAGTAAAACAGGAAAAGTTATTGTTCCAATAACAAAACAGACCAAAGTAACAATTTTCTTTGGGTTGATTAAACTTAACAATTGTTGCAACGCTATTTTACAACACTGTTAAATTAGGAATTTGGATATTGACCCTAAGGCACAAAAAGTGGGATCCTTTTGGTGAGCGGAAAAAAGCATCAGCACAGTACAATAAGAATTAGTTCTGATTTTTATATTCATGTAATGGTTTTAGTTTCAAACAAATAATTATTTGTCTAACCTAATTGTTCTATGGAAACAAGGAAGCAACACACAAAAATATAGTGCACTGTTCCAAAATCCACCAAGTAGTCCTAGACTTAGATTAAATTGATCTAGGTAATACATTACTAAATTAGTGGAAGAGGTATCTTCTTTGCACGTTGCACCTTGATGTTAGTTTAGTGTTCATGATATATTAGACATGGTTGAGGCATAATGCTAAGAAATATTTATAATAAGGAGTACAAGACAAATTCCAAAATCAGAACTCTACTTCAACCGATAAAAATGTTTCAGTTCTTTTCTACTCAATTTCTCTCTAGCCACTTCTGTTTCCACTTTGTATCTTGTTGATTACATCAAAACCCCTTGGAAAAAAAAAGTCAGGAAGACAAACATACATATACATGGAAACAGAAAAAATCGTAGATATTAAAAGTACATGGAAAAAAAAAATAATAGTTACAACATTAGCAAAGAAGCCACACTATAACACATAATTTAACAAAAAGATGATACTTATGTCAAACACAAAGTGTATTAGATGTCAAAACTCAAAAGAATGTAAAATGATCAAATACCTTATATGCTTTGTGTGCAACAGAATAAGAGGACTTGCATTTTGCCAAAACTCGAGCTGCAACCAATTTTACAGGCAAAGACACTGAAGATGAATTCATTATATTAAATAGCATCTCCACTGAAATAGATGCAAAATCATCTGAAATCTCACAAAAGCATCCAGTAGCATACAAAGATGCTTTCACCTGTAAAATCTCAAACCAATATTTCAGATGTACTGATATAAAAATTTAATCAATCAATTAAAATATACTAAAAGTGTCTTAAGAAAAGGACTGCTAAACAAGTTAGAACTCAGAAGCAAAGAAAATTAGGAGAGTGTTCCAAGGCAATCACCCTCCACAATTTAAAAAATGCAAAAGGCAAAACAATATCCAATCAGACAATCACTTCAATGTGTCAATCCACCCATGTATAGTCATGCAAATCAAATTAAGATTCCAGAGTTTCTCAGTTGCAATATAATTGCACAGGAAATTTTTTTGAAACATTAGAAGAGAAGAACATGATTAGGTAATTAGGTAGAAAATTGAAGTAAACATAATTTAACAAAGACATCTTAATATGAATGAAATTAGACATCCAAAATAACCTTAACAATTAGAAACTAATTTTACCTCGCAATCATGAGAAGAAACAAGGCTGGAAAATATCAAGTATCGTATCTGAGCATTGTCTTTAACAAAATCAGCCCAACAACCAAACAGAACCAAAGCAAGTGCCCTTGAATTCAAATCCCCACTATCAAAAACAGATTTCACTCTCTTCAACAATTCCAAGTGATTGGCTACTCTGGCCTCTGACAGCAACCCTTTTCTCTTCTTATCACGGTGTTTCCTTTCAGACAAGAAAACCCTAACAACTGAAAGTCTAGTCTCTATGTCACCTCCCCTAAAGGCTTCAGCAAGGCGCAAGAGAATGGTATTGGCAAATAACTTATCTTCACCTGGAACAAGTCCAAACATGGCACAGGGAGCAACGCCAGATTCAGGCTCTCTACTCCATTGCCGAAGGCGAGGCTCCATTTCCAATATGGCTTTGATAGGAACACCTAACAGGCATAAATTTCAATAACAGAGAGAACAATCAAACAAAAAATATAACTTTTATATGGCTTTGTATGGATTGATACTATATGTGGTGAAATAGAATGGTATTTTGATAGGTAATGTTGCTTTGATCACCAAAATTTCAATCAAATAAAACGGAACATAATGTCAAAAAAAACAAGGAAGAAAGAAGAGAATTAACTAACCAGGTTTGGTAGAACGGAGACCCATTTCGAGCTGAATGCTCCATTCCATGGCACGAGCAGCACAGGTTGGTTCCATGGTAGATTCTCTTCTCACTGCTTCAATCCAAGCGTGGTACGAATTGCAGTTTGCAACGAAGAGCTGCTATGTCCGCAACGTTGCGGCTTCGTCTGCAATGCGTCAAAGCATGTTGAAAAAAAAATAGAGAATAAGAAGAAAATTTTTACAGATGAGAACGTGTTTTTGGGTAAATTGTGTGGGGAAAAGGGAATGAAATGTTGGATTAAGAGTGGAGAGTGAATGAGTGAGATAGGCACTAGCCAGGTAAGTTTCAGCAATTTTAATAGAGGGAAAGAAAGATAATTTTGCCGAGGGATTTTTTGAAAATTAAATTATTAAATTTATAAAGGGATGATAATTTGATAAAGGAGAAAATAAATATTAAGCGAGGATTTTTTTTATTTGACAGAAGAAGTGAGGAATTATAATTTTAGAGGAAATATTTATTAATATTTTAGAAGAAAATTGGTAAATTAAAGATAAGATAACTAATTGTGTTAAATCTCTTGAAACAACTATTCTAAACTCATGTAACAAATTATTTTTATGTTTTCTTATTTTTTAAATTTATTTACATTCTTGCAACTTTATTTTATAACAAATTTTTCTTTGTTGAAGAAGTTGTTTGAGATTTTTTTAACATTTTATCTATTTTAGTTTTTATTTATCATAATTCTTTATAAATTAAATTTTAATAATTTTAAAATAAAATATCAGTAAAAAATAATCTTGTTATGATATAAATTTATTATCATTATTTTAAATACAATTTTTTTTATTTAAAATATCTATTCATATAAATTTTAAATCTAATTTATATATTTAAACCTTTATAAATTAAATTTTAATAATTTTAAAATAAAATATCAATAAAAAAAATAATCTTGTTATGATATAAATTAATTATCATTATTTTAAATATAATTTTTTATTTAAAATATCTATTCATATATATTTTAAATTTAATTAAATATTTAAATATAGTATTTATTTGTATATATAATTTATTATAAATTTAAATTATATATAATAAATATTTAACTTGTGCATTGTACAAATTAAAATACTAGGTTTAGAAATGAATAAAAATATATACAATTTTACAAATATAAAGTATAAGGTATATCAATAATTATAATTTTTTTTTTACTTTTAAACTTTAGTAAACAAAGAGAGGAAATTTGGGCAACAACGCTAGATTAAACAAAAAAATAACTTGTATACCTCGCTAAATTTCTCAAATTTTGAGTTCAACAATGGCTAACATTATGTTTGACTATAATCGTTGAAACCAAATTTAAACACTATTAAGTAGTTTTTAAAGGTTTTTGAATGATTAAGAACATGAAAATTATTTCGAACTAGAGAATGTTTAAGGTTTGTCTAGGTGTTCAACTAGAGTTAGAAAATTCAAAAGTGTGAACTAAACTTATTCATTCTAGATTAGGGATTTTATACTTGATTACTATGAGCTTATGAGCCCTTGAAATTTTCAAGATTTGATAAGATAGTTACTTATTAGTGAGATCTTGCCCAATAAAGATAAAATTTTATTGCAAATACAAATCTCAATTGGATTTATTTAGATATCCTTTGGTAGTTGAGTTACTCAATATATTGGAGGTATATTTAGTGAGGTGATCAACCACCACATATCAGTTTAATGTTCACAGTACTCAACCATAACCTCTCGGCCTACCCCTTTCAACAAGCCCATCTCGAATTATATCTAAAATGATATACTTGTCCACCAGTCCCAAGTGTACAAAAGGAAGGAGCTTGATGAAATTGTCATATATCCCTTCCAAAATCACTATTAGTATGTTAATGTTTGAGTCAGTTATTCATCAAGGGTATTTGGCCAAAACCTCTCAACCCACCTTTCTCAACATGTCCATCTTAGATTATATTTAGGATGGTACACTTGTTCACTAGTCACAAGCCTATAAGACAAAGGGGTTTGATGAAATTGCCATATATCCCTTCCTAAAAACATCATAAGTATGTCGATGTTCGGGTTGGTTATTCACCAAAGATACTCGACCAAAAATTTAGTCAAGCTCTTTTGGCAAGCTTATCTCAGATAACATACTAAGTGTTAGACTATATCAGTAACATTTTTCTGCTGAAATTTAATAACAAGTAACTAAGTCTGCTATATAATCCTATCAGCTTCAAACAATCATTTAAAAATTCTTTACTATGTTTTTTTTTTTCATCTAAAATAAGTTTTTTTATATTTTTTTTATCTATAAAAATTGAACACAATATTAAAGAATTTATAATAATTCATACACTTATTCAAGTGATTAAAATAAGGTCATTAAAATACTATAATTTAAGCACTATTTTATAAATGAAGCTATCATTAAACAATTATAAAAATTATGGTAATTTTAATAACTAATTTATCATTTTGGTTGATTTTATTATTATAAAACAATGCATAACTACCTGTCCTAATTTTGTTGGTTTTGTTATCATTTGTTAGTATTATCCACATTTGGCTGCTGGTTTGATCAATACAGCTATGGATGCTGCAGCTGATCAACCCGAATTCCCAGCCTTTAACGAAAAGGTTGTTCCAGATGCAATAGGCACCGCTTATGATAAGCAAATTGCACCGTCTCTAAACTGCAGAGGTTATAGTGCTTCATTAACAGATTTTGGTGGTGTTGGAGATAGGAAGACATCAAATATATAGCAGAAAGCTAACACAATTCTTATAGAATAAGAAAACATTGTAAAATATATACCTTACTGACATAAGGATGCAAACACAAAGGATTTTTTTCAAGCATACTTTATATATAGTAATAATAACTCATTACTATGTCCAACATATTATATTCATATCATATGTTCTCATATAGTAAAACTCTAACGGTAACAATTAATCCAATTATTATTAGTTTATTATCATCACAAATAAGGATGGGTAGAAAATAGTCTTTTAGAAAAAAGCTCTGTCTTGAGCATTTTTTTTTTTTATTTTAAGCTTTGTTAACAAAAAATGAGATAAACACACTAAGCTGATAAAAACTCAATGATAAAAAGGTTATAAATATCTTGAGTAAATCGGAAATCTTCTCAGCAATATATTTTTGTTGCAGATTTACAGTTATTCTCCCTCACATATTCCTTTTCCAAAAAAAGTAATTAAAATTAACACTTTGCATCGAAAGGAAATGGCATGCGATTAATCAAGAGAGACTATATGAAAGCATTTGTAACAAAAACTTAAAGCTTACATCTGTTTTAGCATAATCAGTCAAGTCATAAGCATCTGAATCCGGTGTTTGCATTAACTCTGATCCATAAGCACTAGGTCACCATACAAACTGCAGTGAGTACAACGATACTGGACCAGAGATAGAAGAAAATGATAGAACATAAATGAAATTGTACTATATTATTCATTAGAAAATTGCAAGTATTATAATAAAATCAGTACCTTCACAATAAATAGAACAGTTTTCACCAAGGGCATCCAGAATTGGTTGTGTAATTTTCTCAACTACTTCCTGCCATTAATGTCAGAAAAAAGTTTAAAAAAAAAAATACAACGGGAGGCAAACAAGTATGCAGCTTATTTTTACAAATGCTGAACGAAGCTTATTTTTACAATTTAGGCAAACAAGTATGCAGCTTAAACAAAATAAGAGGACACAGAAAAGCTAAAGACATAGAATTTCCAAATAGCCTCTTGGAACAAATTAATTGACAAGCAAAGGAATCATAGCAGTAATATTTTACTTCATTGATTCACCACATAACCTAACACTTTTTGCCTGTATCCCTGATGTTTCTAGTCCCATATTTCCTTATTTCATAACGAAGTTTCCATCTCATAAGCGAAACGCATAACTAAGTATGTTCGTAAATCAATCATTAGAAAAGGATCTTGAGAAGAATGAGTTTAAATAAATAAAAGTATAAAAAGTGAGGGAGAATGAAAGCGAGAAACAGAGCAGAGAAGCGATGAAATACCTAATAGAGAAGGAGGTGTCGTGGCCGGCGAGGGAGCAGATTTCCCGAATGTCTGCTACGGCAAGAACCGGCGGAGTGAGTGGCGCTGTGTTGTTAAATTTCGGAAGTGGCTGTGTTGTTTTAACTTAGCCCACTGTTGAGCTAGCTAGCTGGTTGCGCTTGGTCTCTGATATTGGGTTTATGAGTTCGAAAGTGAAAAAAACTCATAAGCTCAATCCATGTCAACTTATAATTAATATTAAATCAAAATATTATAAAAATTATAACTCAAATTATAATTAATATTTTGATAATAAATTTATTATATATTAAAATTAATTAAATATTTTTATCAAAGAAATTCATACAGATATTAGATTTTATTTTGATAATTAATTCTATAAGATATAGTTTAGATATACTACTTTATACTCTCTTAATTTATTGTTTAGTTTCCTTAATCAGTTTTATCTAAATTCCTAAACTTTAGGGATTGATTATGTTTTATGCCTATTTATTTTATTGTATCCATCAATTCAATAACATGAAAATCATTCAGATTCAAGTACTAAGGAAACTAAACTAGAAATTAGGAGAGGATAAACTAGTATATCTAGACTATATCTTATAGAATTATCTTAACATAAATATATAACAAAAAACACAATATTTTTTAAAAATAATGTAATTTACTCTGCTCACATACAAAAATTAATAAACGTACAAAGTAATCAAATATATTTAAAATTAAATAGGTCAAACTAAAGTTTTTACTATAATATGTATTTAGTTTAAAAGCATAGGCTACAAGTTATTTAAAAAAAACTTATATTACACTTAAAAGATTGATCTACCTGAATAAAAATGAATAATAATATTAGTTATTATTATTATTATATTAAATTTAATGACTATATATAATATATTAAAATTATATATACTATAATATATTAAAAGATTGATCTATTTCAATAAAAATGAATAATAATAATATAATATTAATTCAAAAGATTATAATAATTATAACTCAAATCATAATAAATAATTTGATATTAAATTTATTATATATTAAAATTAATTAAATATTTTTTATCAAAGAAACTGATACAGATTTTAGATTTTATTTACTATGTTTTATAATCAAAAGAAATCCAATATTAAATTATAAGATAATAAAAATCATAAACTTCTATACTATATATATATATATATATAATTATTAATTATTGAGTAAAATAATTTTAGATAATCAGTTATTTTAAAAAGTAAACAAAAATTATAAAAAAAAATAAATGATAAAATAAAAGTATGTAATTAACTTTATAATAGTAAAATAATTGTACACAATAGTTAAAAAGTAAAAGAGGACAAATAAAATGTGGACTTCCAAAATAATATATCACTTTTATTAAAAAGGTATAGATTAAATTATAGAATAGATTATAGAAGTTTAAGAAATTATAGATCATAGATAAAACTGCATTTTTGAGAAGAAAAAAAAAAGATAAAACTGTTTTTACCTATTTAAATTTACTTTAACATTTTAAACCGGTTAAAAAATCAATATGTAGCAATAATTTCATCTTTTTCTTCAGATTATGATTATTTTTCTTATTTTTGTTATTAGATTTCTCAATATCTTTGGCTTTTTTGTGATTTTTTATTTTTGATTCAAATACGGTTTTTCTCTTTTATAAATATATATATATATATATATATATATATATATATATTGTTTTTGTTATTGTCAATGATTATATTACATTTTTTGATTCATTAAATAAAAAGATTAGATTAAAGGTGTATTCGAATCGGGTGGACGATACCCGACCCATAAATATGATACTACCTAGTAACGGCGGGGAATATATATTGTAATTGTATGATTTTAGTCTTTCAAATTTTAATTGAACAATTTTAATTAATTTTTCAAATATTACAATTTTGTGATTTTAGTTACTTAAGTATCACAATTATACAATTTTTGACTCATTCAAGTTACATATATTATTAGTTATTAATTTTAAAAATAATAAATATATCATCAAATACATGAATAAAAAATTATAATATATGTAATTTAAATAAGTTAAAATTATAAAATTATGTTACTTGACAAATTAAAATTGTACATTTACAATACGTAAATGATTCAAATTGTTTAATTAAAATTTAAAAATTAAAATTATATAATTATAATATTTGTAAAATTAAAATATTTTAATTAGAACATTGAGATTAAAATAACACAATCGAAATACTTGAGATATTAAAAACGAGTTTTATTTTTTGATCGGGCATTGTTAATTTCCTTTTTGGTTGATCATGGGTGTAGAGAATATTTTTTCTTAAAAAATTACCTAGCCATATTTTTAACTTTTTTACTTATACTTCGTCATGGTTTCCCCGGGGATTTTGCACCAGTACGTTGATTTATATTAGTCGTAATAATTTCTTTAATCATAACAAATAGGCCTAAGCACGGGGCGGGTTCGAACGGATTCGGGTTGAAAATATTAAACTCAATCCAAACCGATCCAAAAAAAAAAAACCCATTTTTGACCGTGAACAGTATTTCGCATTTGAGACCACGAGTTTCTTCAAAGCATGAATCTCTATCGCCAAGCACAGGCTAGAGATCCTCAAGCTGGCGAAGAAGGAGGATTTGGCAGCGAAAACCAGCGCTAACAAGCTTTCTGGGGTCATCAAGAAGTGTTTGAGGAAGTGCTTCAGCAAGCTGGTTTCAAAGGAGGATCATCAAGAAGTGAAGGAGATGCCTCCGGAGCCAAACTGGTACCAAGGGAAGTGGAGAAGGGCGAGGCACAATGGGACCATTGGAGTTTCAGGGCCTTTGCACTTTCACATGAAGAGAAGGTTTCGCTTGCGACGCTTAGGGTTTTATCTTTTAAGTGTTTTGGGTCGGTCGGGTATGGATACCCACGGGTTCAAATTTTTTAACCCGAACCCGACCAACAAAACCCATTATAAACCGACTCTAATAACCCGAAAAACCGGAAAAACCGCCAAAAACCGCCCGAATTAAAAAACTGACCTGTGGAAACCTCGGATTTGGGCGGGGCGAAATTTTTTGCTCAACCGTAATAACAAACCTCATGGATCAATCCTAAGTGCCAGCAACACCATCTCCAATGAAAAAAAAAAAGTTAATTACGAACGGTTGCTTAGTAGTGTTGAAGAAGCTCTTAGAAATAGGGTGTTCACAAAATTATTTTAAACTAAATTTTTTAAATAACTAAACTAAATTAAACTAAAATAAATTAAATTATTTTTTAATAGTTTAAACTAAACTATTACTTTTAGTATAGTTTGTAAAGCTAAACTATTAAAATTAATAGTTCAGTTCACTAAAGAAAACCAATTACAAGCACTAAAGAACATTCACGGAGACTACCAGTATCAGACTACTACGTTTGGACTCGCGGAGACGAGATTTCAGTTTACCCCTAATAGTCTGGCTAATAGTTTTGTTTTTAGCATTGGTGGGCCTTTCATTTATTTTTCCAGTAGAGATGGGATTTTGGGCTTAAACAATATAAATAGAGGTTTTGGATTTAACCCATGCATGCATAGCTTGTATATTATTAGGTTGCTTATGATAATTTAAAATTTGGCACAGTTTATTTTAAATTTAATTTATAATTAATATCAATGATTTGGTAGCTCAATTTAAAAATATTAATTTAAATTTATTTTTTTAATGTAGTTCAATTTAGTTTATAATTAATAATAATTTAATTTAATTGATATTATAATTTAGTTTAAACTCCTAGAACTATAGTGCACTAATTCAGATAATAGTTTAATTTAGTTTAGTCAATATTTATTTTAGTTCAATTTAGTTTGATGAACTATTCATTATAGTTTAGTTTAGTTTTCTTCTAGTTTAGTTTAGTTTAGCAATTTGAACACCCTTATTTAGAAAGAACTAGATTAATTAATTAGTCTCTCCGAATGTACACTAACCCACCAAAAACGAGAAATTTTCTTACCTTACACTACACATCACATTTGTTTTCGATCCACACAAGCAAGAGAGTCTGAATTAAGTTTCAGTTTTTGAAAATTTTTACATCCATGTGTTACGTTAAAAGTTTCTGTATAGTATAAAATTTGTTACATAAGGAATACCAAAATCCTAGATTAATTTTTTAACAATCCATGAAATGTAACATCCCACAATCGTATCCGTTTTAGACATGAATTAAAATACGAAAGGTAGAAAGGTGCGTTTGCATCGGGAATGTAACAAGTTGATTTACACAACAAGAGAAGAGAGTAGTTACATGAAAATCAAAAGCGGCAGCCACAAAAGAGGTAGAAAAAGCAAGCAGTGAGAAGGAGCAGAACAGCCTCAAACGCAGAAACAATAGATTTGGACTTAGTTATAGACACGTGGCTTCTTTTTGAAATACTTGATGGCTCACCAACTTCAGATAAAGAGCTTTTCTGTCTGCTACCTTTTGATGAAGCTGCATGTCCACCACTTTGCATAGGGAAATACCGAGATGAAGTTGTCACTGTGAGTCCAGAAGAATTTCGATGGACGTGTCTTTTATTGGTTGAATTGAGCTTTTCAAGTTCTTTAGGTTCAGGGTAATGGACAGTGGAAACTCTCATCGAAATCTTTCCTGCAGTAAAGCAAAAGAAAACATTTATCTTGGTGCTCGAACTAAAAGAAATAAAACTAAAAAACTATAAGCCTTAAAACTACCTACTATTATTACTTCTATTACAACAAACTAACTATAAGCATTAAAATCCAATACAATATAAACGGGAGAAAAACCAATAATGAAAGTGAGATCCAAGTCGTGAATCCAAAACACATTCTGAAAAACATTGCCAAAGAAAAAAAACATACTGGTTAAGTTCACAAGTAAAGAAGTACTCATTTGCTACTCACAATATAACTTCCAATATACATTACTTTTGGAGTCATACATATACTTTTTTTAATAAAAACAACATTGACAGAATAAATTAAACAAAAAAAAAAATTAAACATCTGAACAAAGGTTTCCTGGTGCACATAAGCACAGAAACCATATTTGAAATCCATGAAAATTACAAGTAGATATTGAATTGGAGAATGGGATAATTCGCCATTTTGACAGAGATAAGGGTCAACTGATAGATGTTTTTCAAAAGCTACTAAAAGTAGCTTCTTAAAAATAATGAGCAACAAGACATTTTTCAGATTCTGATTTTTTAAAGGCTAAACACACCAAATTTTTTTAAAAGTGATCTAAAAAACTGAAGCAAATGAGCTCTTACTCTGAAAACTCGTTAACCTAGACTATATTAAACACAAAAAACATATATGTAGGCACTATCTTTTGGAAGTTGCAGCAAGTATGTCCAACACCATTGTGAAAAGCTATGTACTCAGTCTACTCTTGGTGCAAACCTATTTTTATAAAAATATCCATTAGACCTAATTTTGCAAAATCAGCCCTTGCCCCATTTTACATTCCTTATGACTTGAAATTCTACCTCAAATGATAATAACAATAAAGCTCTCTCTTAGAGCTAGAATATTTCTCAAAGAACTCTTGCATTGAACATGAAATGCACAAACAACATAAAGATTGATTAAGACTGCTACGTTGACATCACTTTTACCTTGCTGTAGATGTCATCCTTCATATATGAGTAACAGAAAATATTGATGCTTACCTATTTTTGGTTCAGTAGAGGAAACAAAACCCATTTCGTCTGGCTCTTGAGCAGTAAAGCTTACAAAATGATATACTTTACCTGCCAACATAACATGAAAATTAAGGCACTTGCAAAAAATCATATTCATATCACACAAAAAAATGCTATTATGAATATCAAGAAGCAGAAATTGGAGAGAACAGAGCATTGATGATGTCACAGCTGATCACTTTATTTACCTGATGAACCCTCGAAGTTGGCTAGTTTACCATTATTCTGAAGTGTGAGAAACAATTTCTGCCCATGTATGTCAGATAAAAAATCCTGACCAACAAATTACACACATCAAGTGAGACAATGATGGCAGTGATCAACATAAAATCAAGCAGAGGCTCTTCCACCATCTAAATCCTAAATGGAAGAAAACACCGGCAATCCCAATACAGATACCAGCTCATTTGAATGGAATGAAACCTCTCATAATTATAGAAATTGATCAATTTTAAGAGGGAAAACACATTAGCAAATGGAAAGAGGTATTACACAGGGATGATTTTTTACAATCCTTAATGAGATCTTACACAACAAAAATGAACATGAAACATGTACGCAAAAAGATTCTAACAAAAGAAAAAATAAGCTTAGTAGAGAGGATTGACCAAAAAGAAGTTAATTGTTTGATACCATGACTGAAGTCAACAAGCAAAGGGGTATCCAAACAAGTACTATATTTTTAAACAAAATGCTTGACATCCCACTTGATTTTTCACTTTTGTAATGATGATGATATCAATCTTTTGTGATTTTATTTTTCTTTCATTTAGATGGCATCGGTTGTTGGGATTCAGTTCAAAAGAAATAAGCAAACCATAAGCATAAAGACAAACTTAAATTGGAGAAAGGCAGCTTAAGAAGCAAAAGCTCGGTTGAGTCAGTCAAGTTAATGAGTGCTTCGTTGCTGTCTTCCACATATTCTGCTTATGTTAATGTAAGCAAAAACTTACATTGGTTGTGGTGTAAGTTGATATGCTTATGTTATTTACCTTTTTAAGATCATTGAATGTCCTATTGAGGTGTTTGTTAAGGTTGTAAGCCATGTGAAAGTGTTATGTTGTGCGATTTCCATGTGGATTGGTAGTATAGTTGTTGCTACTTCTATACTTGATATATTTTGTTCTTTACATACTACCTTATCCTTACATATTTTTTTTTTAGTTGGATTATGATGATCATATTTATATAAGAGTAGGATAGGTACTAAAATACTAGTATATATATATATATATATATATATATATGCAAATG